CCCTCCCTCCCTTCCTTCCTTTTTGTTTATTTTTTCATTTTTGAGGCAAGGTTCCTCTGTATAGGCTTGACTGTCCTGGAATTTGCTTTGTAGAGCGGGCTGTCCTTGAACTCAGAGATCCATCTGCACCTGCCTTCCAAATGCTGGGATTAAAGGTGTGTGGCACCCCTTCTGGCTTGAGAGTTTACTTTTTTGTTCTGTTTTGTTTGAGACAGGGTTTCTCTGTGTAGCCCTGATTGTCCTGGAACTCTTTGTAGACCGGGCTGGTTCAGTGTGGTGTAGAAAGGACACGGTTGAGAACTATGCCTTAGTTTTATGATTCACTGTTTAGCTGTGGGCAAATAACTTCCCTGTGCTTGCTATCTGCAGTGTGGAACTGAGACTAACCAATAACCTACCTACTTCACAGAGGTGTAGACTATACTTGGAAGTATCATGAAAACCTTAGTGTGGTCAGTGAATGTTGGATATGAAGCCTACCTGCTAAGTGTCACCCAGGTGGAGCAGCCTTTCTCTTTTTGGGCCATCAGTCAGCTTCCAACTCATGACATGGAGACTTGTTATTAATTATGAATGCTCGGCCTAGCTTAGGCTCATTCCTTGCTAACTCTTTGAACTTAACCTGTTTTTCTTCATCTATGTTTTCTCTCAGGGCTTTTTTTCTGTGTGTCCAGCTCTGTCTGCTGCTGATTGCTGCCAGGCTGGCCCCAGACATCTCCTCTTTTTCTCTCCTCTTGTCTTTCATTCTAGCCTAGATTGTTTTCCTCCTACTTATTTTCTCTGCCCACCAGCCCCACCTTTCCCTCTTCTGCCTAGCTATTAGCCGTTCAGCTTTTTATTAGACCAGTCAAGTGTCTTAGGTAGGCAAATTGAAGCAGCAACACTTCTTTACATAATTGAACAAAGGCAGCCTAACCAACATAACCAGAGGCAGCATAGCCTCACGTAGTATTCTGCAGCATGAACAAGTGTAAGACATCTTTGCCCAGTTAAAATAGTATTCTATAACACCCAGGAGCCTAGGAATGTTCTCTGTAATTGGAAGAGTGGATGCTTGCGTCTTATTGCCCATGTGTTTTTGAGTGGACATTTCCCCAGCATGCCTCGGAGAAAACTCAGACACTTCTGGAGGTAAGATGAGTCAGGGCATGTCTTTTTTTTTTTTTCTCGGCCTATCCTTTTGTCATTTGATCATTGTGAACTTGCTCTGGCCGCCACAGCGAACATTCTTTAGTTTATTGGTTACTATAATTATGTGTGCTGTGCACTTGCTTTCAGCTCCACGGATATTTACTGACCTCTTCAGAGGTGTCGGCTTTGGGTGTGGGAGGGATGCAGGAAGAAACCAGATACCCTTCTCTTTCAGGGTTTGGTTATGTAACTCTGGCAGATCATGAACTTGAGATCCTCCTGTCTCAGCCTTCTGGGCACTGGGATTACAGGTCTGAACTGGCATGAATTGCATAGTGACTGTGTTTAAGGACATACTTTGTGCTGGTCTGTGCACTCAGCATTCCTTTGATATTATTATGGCTGCCCTGGGGAAGATCTACATTTTACAGGTGAGAAAGATGTGGTAGGTTACTAAAGTGATCTCATTTGGACCCTCTGTCTACAGATAGGACCTCTGCTGTCTCTCTTAAACCCCTGTCGCCTCTTAGGCCTTATGAAATGCTTATCCTATTCAGGTTCCAATCTTTTCATATGTTGTTGGTGGCATATCCTTCAGGTTGTTGCCTAATTGTTACCTTATAGAGGGTGGCTTTAGTCCTGCCTCTTGAATCTCCTGTGTTACTGGGCCTTTCCTTCATGGTACTTGATGTAGATGCTTCATAATAAAACGTAGTGCTTGCTTGTTGACTGTAACCAAAAGTATACACAACTCGTGCGTGGCATGGAAGATAGGGAGAATGGGTGGGTTTGAACTTGGCTTCTGTCCTGTGTATTTGGCAGGATTCCCTGACCCGACTTCCCTTTATGCCTTGGGTGGACCTCCTTCTATTTTGCGGACTTGAGAGGGCAAAGATCTCTTCCCCTCCCTTTTTTCTGGCCAAGATCTCGTTCTTTTGCCAGCCCACCTCTTTTTTCTTCCTATGGGAACTCCCTGTGGTGCTGCTGGTAGGTTGTCTCTGCCTTCTTTCCCACCTGTTTCCTCAAAACAAAACTCAAGCAGGCCGCTCATTCAGGTGTGACCCAAGAGCATGACAGCGCAAGGCTTCATCTCTCAGGATGTTGTTCTGACACAAACACGTCAGGAAGGCTGGTCTGGAAGGTAAGTTCTGCTGGGAAAGATGACCCTCAGGGACAGTGGTAGTGTGCAGACACTGGATTTGGGTCAAAGTCAAGGCCAGGCGCCTGGGATGAGATAAACCACTGCACAGTAACAACACTAGTAAATACGAATACTGAGCCCCTGCTCCATGCCAACGGTTGAAGTGGTATTAAATAACAACATCTCTAACTCCAGAGCCTGACGCCTTCCTCAGTGCCACCGTACCTGTAAAAGCCTGTTCACGAACCCACTCAGCAGCCGCTGGCCCTGAACACAACCCTCTGGGAAGCAATGGGATAATTCTGGTAAGAGTCTAAGTGACAATCTGGGCTCAATGAAACCATACTCACTGTCTAAATTTAGGATTAGCAATGCAAGAATTGCTTTATTGGGGTTGGGGTACAGTTCAGTGGTGGGGTGCTTTCCTAGCACGTGTAAAGCTCTGGTTCACACCCCCAGGAAATTCACAGCAACAACAAAAATGTTGCTTTCAATAAATAGTGTCAGAAACTACCTGATATGAGGTCAAAGTCGTTCTGGCTCTCCCTGCCTTTGGGGGGTTTGCATGATTGGCAAATTTATTATGGCCCTAAACATAGAGCTCTTGCGTGTTAACATAAGCTAACGTGCGTTTATTTCCTGTGTGCAAACACCGTCCTTGCACATGCTTGGCCGAGGACTCTGAAGGCTCAGCAGCTTTGGACCTGCTAATGTTTCCTGAGCTCCACCATGTGTCAAAGTCACTGTTCTTTGTGCTATTCACAGACAAACCCACTTTTCCTCTCAACGACCTCATTGTCGCTGCTGGAGGAACCTGGAGCCAGGAGCAGTGATAAATAACTTGCTCAAGCAGTTATCAATTGGCCAAGGCTGGCCTATGATCTCAGGTCACTTGGCCCCGGGAATCTCATTCTTAACTTCTCACCTCTGTCGTCTCTAATAGCAAAGATAGTCTTGAAAAATACACCTGGAGAGGAAGTGATGCAGTTCAGTTTTGCACCTGGCTTGGAAGGTTTAGCAGTTTCATAAGGGCATTGAGACATGGTGGGGGGGGGGTAGCATACTATGATTTTTAGGGCTAAATGTTAGATACTATGCCAGAGCTCTGGGGCTCCTTTGGCTGTGTTGCCTCTGGGTCTTGAATCTTGAGCAAGCTGTTTATACTTCATGAGCTTTTTTGTTTTGTTTTGCTTTGTTTTGTTTTTAAAGACAGGGTTTTTCTGTGTAGCTTTGGAGCCTGTCCTGGAACTCACTTTGTAGACCAGGCTGGCCTCGAACTCACAAAGACTTGCTTGCCTTTACCTCCTAAGTGCTGGGATTAAAGGTGTGTGCCTGTTGAAATAAGAGCGGCGGGGCTGTGTCCCCAACACCCCGGCCGCTTGCTAGCTCATGCCCGAAATAACAACACACAAACTGTATTCATTTAAGAACTGCTTGGCCCATGAACTCTAGCCCTTACAGGCCAATTCTCGCACCTGGACTAGCCCATTTCTAATGATGTGTGTAGCACCCCAAGGTGCGCTTACCGGGAAGATTCTAGCCTCCGTCCATCCTGGTGTCTCTGCTCCAGAGCAGAGCTGTCGGCTCTGTTCGGAAGCAGAGCAGAGTCTGACCTCACTTCCTCTTCCGCCCAGAATTCTATTCTGTTTACTCCTCCCACCGATGCTTTAACCTATGAGGCCAAGCAGTGTGTTTATTACTTAACCAATGAAATCAACAGATTGATATATGACACTCCCACATCATGTGCCCCCCCATCTGAGCCAGCTTTCTTTCTTTCTTTCTTTCTTTCTTTCTTTCTTTCTTTCTTTCTTTCTTTCTTTCTTTCTTTCTTTCTTTCTTTCTTTCTTTCTTTCTTTCTTATACCTGTCAAGTAGAGGGTTGCTGTGCGGGACCACGAGACTATCACAGTGTTTTGTAAGTCGGAAAGTACCCCTTAAATTTTAGGGCAAAAAGTTATCTTGACTGTTTGCTTTAAGAGTAAAGGATGTGCCTTTTGTCCTGCATCATAGCACGGTTGCAGAGGGTGCTGATACTCTTTGAGCTCCACTGTGCTACCCAAGGACGGGTGACAAGAAGAAAGATGCTGGAAAGTTGGCCAAGAAAGACAAAGGCCCAGTAAGCAGGTCTGAGAATAAAGCCAAAAGGAAGAGATCCAAACCAAGTTCATGGCAAGCTCAACATTCTAGCCCCATTGACACAGCTACGGATGACAAACTGTAAGGAAGTTCCCATCTGTAAGTTTATCACTCCTGTGGTGGGCTCTGAGAGGCGGAATATTTCTGGTTCCTTTGCCAGGACAACTCTCCTGGAGCTACTTAGTAAAGGATGTGCCAAACTCAGAGTCCAAGTAATTTACACCAGAAATACCAAAAGTGGAGCTACCCCAACTGCTGGTGAAGATGCTTGAGCAGGTTCAACCAACAACTGTACATTTAGAAAAGTAAAACTTTATTTAAAAAAGCGTGAAGCGTGTGTGTGTGGCAGGGAAGGTGTGTGTGTGGAGAGATGGTCCAGTAGATAGCACTTGTTGCTTTTTTTTTTTTCAGATTTATTGAAAATGGCAGAACAGACTCAAACGGCTCCACGCGGTGTTTTGAAATTCATCCCCACTGTAGGCTGAGTGACCTGCAGGTTGGAGAGACTGCCAAAGTCCAGAAGCTTCAGCATCTCCTCTGTGTCAGGATCTACCTCAATGATCTCCTGATCCAGGGCTGAGACCTCAGGAATGTAATTATCCCTCCTTTCTCGCTCTTCCTCCTGCAGTTTGATAGAGATGCCCCTGACAGGGCCTCTCTGAATCCTCTTCATCAGATGTGTGACATAGCCGGCTATCTTGTTGGGGATGATAGCGATCTCCTTGCACATGCGCTTGTTGGTGTGGAAGTCATTGCCTAGGCGCGTGTAGTACTTCTTGATGATGACCCGGGCCGCCTTCTTCACGGTCTTGGTGAGGACACGGCCCATGTTGACAGGTCCCGGTATAAGAGCCACTTGTTGCTTTTGCAGGTGACCCGAGTTCAATTTCCAGCATCCAGACTCATAACCATCCATAACACCAGTTCCAGGTGATCCAGTGCCCTCTTCTGACCTCCAAAGGCATGCACATGCTATTCATATATACATATAAGGAATACACTCATACACACACATACAAAATCTAAATCTAAATCTTTTTTTTTTTTTTCAGAGTAAAGGCTAGGAGCTGGTGAGATGGTAAAGGTGCTTCCCTGAACCTGACTATCTGAGTTTAATTTCTGGGACCCATACAGTGGAGGAAGAGAACCAACTTTCATAGGTTGCCTTCTGACCACTGCTCAAGCACCACGTCTTGTCCCCCTGCCCTCCAAATAAATGAATACATTATAGTATAATAAAAAATTCCAAGGAGAAAGGATGGGGATGATGAGACATAGCAATCATCACAAGAGTAGAGGGAGCGCTGAGGGCCACAGCCTCACATTCTCTGCCTGTTCCCTAATGTCAGTACCATTGCTGCCTGATGATCTGCCTTTGACCTGGATTCTGAGCCTTTGTCCTGATTGTACTGGCCAGCTTGCCTAGTTGCAACCAACTGTGAATTTAAACCGGACAGGGATTTATGAAAGAATAGTGTACATTTTATAGTATTTGGGGAGGAATAGAGAGCTAAGAACCATGACCAGCCACCATGACAGTTTCTGTAGCAGAAAATATGACATCATTGGTCACCAAAACCCTGATAATAATCACTCAATTCCACTCCATTCTTACTTTGAGGTCGTGTCCTAAATGCATATCACTCACTTCTGAATTCAGAACTTGTACTCGTGAGTCTGACTGTTGGAACTCAGGTCAGTGTCTTAACCTAGCTATAAGGGAGTTGATACATGGTTTTCTAACTTCTACCTTGGCAAGAGAGGACTTAAATGACCAAAACATGGCAACAGGTTTTAAAGATTTATGGTGTCATAGATGACAAATACATTTTTTTACTGGTTTACTTTCTAACATGTTGGATCCCAAGACCAAGCCATTCTAGGGAATGGTTATAAGAGAAATATAGTATAGCCTATTGAGCTCCTGGGCCATGATGCTTGTACTACCTGGAACCAGGGTTGGGCAAGGGTCTGGGGATTAAAGAACACATGAGACATGGGTCACTCTTGAAGCAAGAATGCCAATTTTATTATGTTCCCAGACAGCTTATATAGTGCTCTCCTTGACTAAATGGCCAAGCCCTAGTTCTGGGGATTTTCTACTGCAAGCCCACCAGAAACCACTTCCCTGTTATCAGGAACTCATGAGGGTTCTGTGTTCAGAGCAGCTGCAAGCATAGAAACACAAGTTGTTTACTTCAGCAGACAAGAAAGAGGTCATAGAAAGTTCAGGGTCTGGGGCTGGAGAGATAGTTCAGTGGTTAAGAGCTTTGCCTGCTCTTCCTAAAGGTCCTGAGTTCAATTCCCAGCAACCACATGTGCTCACAACCATCTGTAATGAGATTTGGTGCCCTCTTCTGGCCTGTAGGGATACATGCAGGCAGAACCCTGAATACATAATAAATAAATAAATAAAATGTTCATGGCCTGAAGGTCTACAGCTCCCCACACTGGGCCAATTGTAGGGAACTCTGAAAATAGTATTGCTCTGGGATAGTGCTCTTATACACTGTAAAATTTTACTTTTTTTTAAATATTTATTTATTATGTATACAATATTCTGTCTGTGTGTATGTCTGCAGGCCAGAAGAGGGCACCAGACCTCATTACAGATGGTTGTGAGCCACCATGTAGTTGCCGGGAATTGAACTCAGGACCTTTGGAAGAGCATGCAGTGCTCTTAACCACTGAACCATCTCTCCGGCCCCCTCTTATACACTGTAAAGATTTGTCACTTGGTAAAGTGGCAAAAAAAGTGTAAAGATTTAGTTTAATAAAATGCTGATGGACCAGTAGCCAGGCAGGAAATATAGGTGGGGCAACCAGACTTGGAGAATTCTGGGAAAAGGAAAGGCAGGGACTCAGTTACAAGTCAGAAACGAAGCAAGATGAGAATGCCTTACTGAGAAAAGGTGCCAAACCACATGGCTAAACATAGATAAGAATTATGGATTAAGTGTAAGAGCTAGTTAATATTAAGCCTGAGCAATAGGCCAAACAGTTTATAATTAATATAAGTCTCTGTGTGTTTTGAGGACTGAATGGCTGCAGGACCAGGGGGGGACAGAAACTTCTGTCTACACAGTGTACTTGTATCTCCAAGTCTGGATGCCAAAATGGATCAAAGGACATGGTTTGTGGCTGTGTTTCGTGTACCAGGAAATAATTCTGGGGCACCAGCATGCAAGTCAAAAGTTCAAATCAGACTGGATTGTGAGGGAGGGTGCGTGGGGTAGCTATTGTTTTGAACCTGTCTGTCACTGGCTTTTTCTGCCTTTGCTGTCACCCAACATTTAAGCATCTACAAGCTCTGAGCTGGTAGCTGACACACACCGTAGTGGCCATCCTTGGTGCATGCATGGACCACTCTTGTCACAGTAATGAAGACCCCATCAGAACTGACAGTGCAGGACTGACGAGGACAGGAATGCTGGAGGCAGAATACCAGCTCTGCAAGCGTAATGAAAGAATCGTTATGTCATATAGAACGAGCTGCTAGGAAAGAAGGGGTGGGTGTCAGCGTCTCCTTCTCATCCTGACTCAGAATGACAAATGAACATGGGCTCATAAAGACCCTTTTTTGTGGGGCGGGGTTTACTTCATCATCCCAGAGATATAGATGATACAGGGAGATGCTTGTAGAGTTGATATTGAAGTTCTCATCTCTGGGTAGGGTGAGGGTCTCCAAGGGACCAGTTGGGTGTTTCCTCCTAGCGAGAGGAGAACCTATGTTCAGCATCAACTCAAGAGTGGGATCTGTAAGTGACATTGTGTGTTACAGAATCCAGCATCCTAGGGCTCCTGGGTTGGCTGTGAGGGAGGGTCCAGTACCATGATGCAGAAGATAGAAGGAAGATGAAAGGGGCCATCCTAGAATGTTCCCAATAGGAGATGGCTCCCTTAAGACTTTTGTTTGTTTGCTTGTTTTTTTTCTTTTTTCTTTTTTCTTTTGGAGACAGGGTTTCTCTGTAGCTTAGGAGCCTGTCCTGGAACTCGCTCTGTAGACCAGGCTGAAGACTGGCCTCGAACTCACAGGTATTTGCCTGTCTTTGCCTCCTGAGTGCTGGGATTAAAGTCATGCGCTGCTGCCACTGCGACCGCCACCACCTGGCCCCCTTTAGACTTAATATCAAGTTAGCTGGCTCAGAGTGATGAAGGATGGGGACAATGGATTACTTCACTGGGGCTGCTGTAATAAAGTATGACAAGGAGAGCTGCTCCGTGACGTATTGTGGAGGACAGAAGTCTGAAATGGAGTATCCAGAGCCAAGTTCTCTCCGAAGATGCTCAGGAAGGACCTGTTCCAGGCCTCTCAGTTTCTGGGATTTCCTTGGTTTGTGGCAGTGTACTGCCATTCTTTGCACGCTGTTCTTTCTCTGTGTGTCTGTGTCCAAAGTTCCCCTTTTTATAGACATGCCATACCGGATAAGAAAGGAGCATGTGTCACTCGAGTATGGCCTTAACACCTGCGATGACTTTATTTCCAAATAAGTGCTCATTCTGAGGTCGTGGAAGTTGAGATTTTGCATATGAGTTTTGGGGAGACACAATTCAACACCAACACATGGGCCTCATATGCTGGCTTTGGGAAGGCAATTTGCATGTTCTGTTTGTGCACAGCTGACCAGCATTGGCTCCGTCACCTTAAATCTGCCAAGGATACGCAAATTTGTGGGTAACCTTCCTAGGTGTACCCTCAGTGGGGGTAGCATGCCTTCCTGCATCTCTACATTCTCAGCTGAAATGGGAATAGTAATAGTTCTCTGTGGTGTTGTTACCTTGATGGCATCTGAAATCATTTCACAGGTGGGCCTCTGGGCATGTCTGTGTGTGGGGGAGTCTCTTTATTATCTTAATTGATATGGAAAAATGGGCTTTTTTCTTTTTGGTTTGTTTTTGATACAGGGTTTCATTATGGAGTCTTGGCTGGTCTGGAACTCAGTGTGTAGAACAGGCTGGCCTTGAAGGCCTTGAACCCATACTGATAGACTTGCCTCAGCCTCCCCAGTGCTGGGATTAAAGCTGCACACCAGCACACCACTGAGCCGTGCTCTTAATTGTGGCCCTTCCATTCTCTTACCAGGGGATTCCAAAATGTGTATCTCTGTTGCCTGATTGCTGATGTGACGTGACCAGCTGCTTCGAGCTCCGTCTGGCAGCCTTGACTTCCCCAGCGCGAAGTTACTCTTAACAGTAAACTAGAATAAACCCTTTCTCTTTTAAATTGCTTTTGTTGGATGGAGTATTTTATCAAAACAATAGGAAAGAAATGGGGGCAATCCTTGATTTGAGGGGGGTGGGGTGCTACCGAGCACAGGGTTCTGAGCACAAAGTGGGGTAAGCCAGAAGCCAGTTTTTCCTCGGTACCCCACAAGGCTATTATGTATAAGGGCTTTCCTTGGGTGGGGCTGAGATCCTGCATGGCAGGGGGCGCAGAGATAAAGCACTTGCTCCTCTCCCCTCTCTCCTCCTTTCCACTTCTCTTGCTGAGCCAGGAGCCATTTGTTTCTCTTGCTGGAGCCTACCCGTCTCACCCTCTGCTGACCCTCTGGTCCAGCCCCTGTTCCTCCCTATTTGTTTGTTCTAAGATATAGTGGCATGGCTTAAGCCAATGTTATCCAGGGCTTTTATGGGCATGGGTTGTGCTAGGGTGCCCAGTTTCAGAGAGACCCAGAGAAGAACACACAGGGGTCCAGGTGCTCTTCCTAAGATCTCTCTGACCTTGGAAAGTGAGATAGGTCCTCAGCGGTTGGGGAAATGGGGGCGGGGGCGTGGAAGCTTAGCCACAGGATTTTAGAGTGGTTGGCACAGTTGGGATGTCCCTGTTTCAGCTGCCTCTGGCTACAGATGGGTAGATAATGTGCCAAGGTCAAATGTTGGGTGGTGCCCAGATCCAGACGCCAGGCCTTTGAAGGGCATCAGCTGAACCGAAACTTGAGCTGTTGGTGGCAATTGCTTCCAGGGGTCTGTGATCTCGTGGTCCAGACTGGAGAGGCTTGTATGTGCAGATGGGGGTCTCTTCCAGTGCTCCTGAGGGGAAGGGAGGGGTGGCTAAAAGCAAGGTGGAGGAGCGTGTTTGAGGGATTGTGGGAATTTAGGGCCGTGCACCCGCCCCTCCTCCCCCCGCAATGCGTGGGGCGCCTGGAGAGGGGTCTTGCGGGCAGGTGGGATCCTGCGGAGACCCGAGCGCGGAGTGCGCGCTGGCCCGGGTGGGGTAAGTCAGGGCTCATCTGCTCCCATTGTGCGGCCGGGCGGACGCTGGCCAGTCGAGCCAAGCGCTAGGAGGTGGAGCTGTGGGTTGCGGGCTCCGGCGCCTGCGTCCAACCCGGCCGGGCTCTGCGAGGCGAGAGGCCGGACGGGAGCCCAGCAGCCGCGCCCCGGAGCTAGCGGGGAGGGACATGGGGCGCGGCGGCTCTCCCAGGCCCCGCAGGTTCCGGAGCCCCGAGGTACTTAAGGGCGAGGCGTGGGCCCCAAGCCGGGTGGGAACATCGGCTGACCGGTACCGGGTTGGGCCTTGGAAGGGAGCGCGGGCTGGACACCGGGCTGTAGCACCCCGGAGGGGGCCCACCAGCCTGATTCCTGACCCCGCCTTCCTCCCCCAGGGCTCCCAAAGAGGTCTCCGCAGCGCCCCCTTCTTCTCACCCGGGGTTTGAGTCCCACAGTGATTGAGAGACTCCCAAGTCTTCAACCCTACCATGGCTAATGGGGTGATCCCGCCGCCCGGGGGCGCCTCCCCCCTACCCCAGGTGACTGATGCGTGGAGGGTGGGGTGGGGGAGGAGGGGCAGGGTGGGTGGGGTGTCCTCTGGCTGACCCTGGGACCACCAGATTCAGGCATTGAGCTGTACTGGTGGTGTGGAGGAATAGGGGGTCTATTAGTGTTTTACGGATCCGTGACTGGTGCACTCAAGGCCCGGGGAAGCCCTCAGAGGGTGTTTTGGGGGATGTTGATGCAGGCAAAGGTGAGAGTGTTGGAGTGTTGAAGTATGAAGTTGGGGATGGGGGGTGTTCATGAACCAGGGGTCCTTAGGAGAGGCTATCTGGCCTGCAGGTCCGGGTGCCCTTGGAGGAGCCCCCTCTGGGTCCAGACTTAGAAGAGGAGGATGATGACTTGGGCAAGACCTTGGCTGTGAGCAGGTTTGGGGACCTCATCAGCAAGACCCCGGCCTGGGACCCTGAGAAGCCTAGCCGCAGCT